TAAAAACTAGTTATTAGATTAATCTAAACTTCCGGCAAACGGCTAAAATGCCATAGCTGTAAGCTTTATATAATATAATTGTTATTAATTTTTATGTAATACAACAAATTTAAAATAAAGTAAAATATAAAGCTAATAAATACTAAAATACTAATACTACTATTAATTTGTTGTTTTGTTCAAATTTGATGATTAGAAGTCTAAATTTATTATTAGTTGCATTTTTATTATTGTCAGTGCAAGTTATATTTGTTGGTGTAAAACATACCAAAAATTACAACTCGCACATATCAGATAAAATAGTAAAGAATACAACTCTGTGCATTTATAAGTAATTATGTAATTTGGTTTCCTTTTCATATATCTCTCTAATAAAGTACACCAAACGGAACAGACGTGTGTTTCTCCCTGCGGATAATCTAACAATATGAGTCATTATGGGCAAAGGAAATAAAATAGAATCATTAGGCATTAAAATTTTGGTAATTAAGTACTTCAAAGAAGGCAAATCCTATCGAGAAATAGGAAACTTTTTGTTCCATTTTCAAATGTCCAAAATATTAGAAAATACAAACAAAATGATTCAGTAGAAAATATGCCTAGAAGCGGACGTCCAAAAACACTTTCTCATCGAGATGTTAGTTATATACTGAAGTAGTGCATAAAAATTCAAAAGTTTGTGCCCCAAAACTGGCAAATGACATCGCTAATACTTCGAGCAAACATGTTCATTCAAAAACCGTCCAAAGGGCTTTAAGAGAGTATTGGTACAAAAGCAGAGTTCCACGAAAGAAGCCACTAATAAGTGAAAGAAATAAGCGGCTTAGATTGGCATTTGCCAATCTAAAAAGTTAGTGCCCCAAAACTGGCAAATGACATCGCTAATACTTTGAGCAAACATATTCATTTAAAAACTGTTCAAAGAGCTTGAAGAGAGCATGGGTACACGTGGAATTTTGGAAAACTGTGCTTTTCACTGATGAATGCAAATTCAATTTGTTAGAAAGTGATGGTCGTGCAAGAGTCTGGCGCAAACCTAACACCGCCATACAAACTAATAATGAAGCACGGTGGTGGTGCTGTGATGGTGTAGGGAGCCATTGGAGCAGCGTGTGTTGGGAATTTAGCTTTCATTAATGGTATAATGGACCAACATCAATACAAGAGTACATAGCAACAACATTTACAGCCTGCCTTCTGTGCACAAATTAGGTCTTGGACATAATTGGATTTGCCAACAGGACAATGATCCTAAACATACCGATTCTCTAGTGAATCGGTTAGGACATTAACATGGTTTCAAAAAACTGTGTTTGTGGAAGAGAGGTCCACTCAGACAGAAATCTTTCTGAAACAACTCCTATAAAAAGAAAGTTGAAAGAAGAATCATTAGTATTGGAAAAAACATTAAAGATATTGCAGAAGACATTTGAGGAAAAACCATGTTTCCTTAAATTAAAAGATGAAGAAATTAGAGAATGTTAGAGAAGGAAAAAAGAAGTTATTTAAATCTCACACAGAACATAAAACCATACATAATATGGCACAGGAATCAGGGCAAAGTTTTGATAGAACAGCTTTGCAGTATGTGTAAAAAGTTGCCAATCGTCATCCAAATGGATACAGGCATGATGTACACTTAAAGACTAAGGTTTTTGACGTGAACGCAGTTTACGTGATTTCGAATCAAGTTAGCCAAAATCTTCCGGCTTAACTCACAGCAGTTTTATAGCCTTGGTGAAACTTCAGAGTATAAACTTAATCGCCATTTTTCCATTGTCATTTTGATCAGAGTATTATTATTAATAAAAGTAGACGTGAAAATTGCCCAACAGCCGGTACTGCGGCCGGCCGAAATTTTTTGAAAAATTTCACAAAATAAAAAACAGACGATCAAATTATGAAATTAAAAACCAAATATCACAGAAAAAAGAGAAAAACATATTAGAAAGGAAAAATTTAAAAAAAACCTCAAAACAAAATTAAATTAAAAAAATAAATTGAAATATGTGTAAATATTTGATAAGAATGCTGAGGACTGGAGATGGAATGACCTCATGTATATACTATGTACATATTGATATGTACTCAATGGAACAGTACTGAGATTATCACTGCTTTTGAGAAGAATTCAAACTGAATGAAATATCAACTTAATTGCCATTGAAGATAGTATTTGGGCCGTAGAAAATATGTGTAATATTTACATACATACTTGGAACGATTGCTGTTTTCATATTAAAAATTAAAATCCTGGTTTCTTCCCATCAAATAAACACATCAACGATTTGGGTCCACATCAAAAATTTAAGTCCTGTTATGTTGGCAATAAATAAATTCATCAACGATTGGGATTGATATGTTAAAGATGAAAGCTAAGAAAATATCTTCTGCACTTTTCAATTGCAATTAAGCATCACTTAATATAAATATATGATCGGAATATGATCGGAATGATTACTGATTACTGACTACTGACTACTGATTACTCAATTCGTAACTTGAATCTTTTAATGTTGACAGCGAGAAAGAGTTCAAATAATTTCTTTGCCTTTTTTAAAATATATTATCTGAACTTTGATGAGAATTAATCAGCAGCAGATTCTGAATGAGGAAGTAGCATAATGCAGAATGCAGAATCCAGAATGATAGCAAAGCAAGTCACAACCTTTTGTCGCTGTTTGAATCGAATCGAGAGCAGATGATGAACCGAATTCGTTCATATATGAAGGAGCAATCATCGATGGAAGGATCGGCCAGATAAGCAGCTAAACCGAGTTATTAAATATATTTTGTATTTTGTATTAGAAATTAAAACTTTTATTTTTAATTTTACTTAATTCTATATTAGATTGTTCAAAGCAAAATCCTGAAGTAGTTTTTTATTACTGTATATTGTAAATGACACCTGCCCTTGTATAAAGTAAATATTGCATGTGATGCAAAGGATCATTAAATAAATAAATGAGTGTTTGAGTATGGATTATGTATATCGCACACAGGGTTGCCAACTTAGGGATTTTCCCCCCAAATTTAGGGGGGAAAATTTGTTTTGGGGGTATTTTTGGGGGCACCAAATGTTTAGGGGTTTTTTTAGGGGGTTTAAAAATATTGTAATTTTTTCAATTCAAAAAACTATGTTAGTAATAACACACATTAAATATTTTTTATTATATATAAATAAGGTATATATAAACGCCGATAGTGTGTAAATACAGTACGAAAACAAAAAGAACAAGCTGCATGGCAACACTAATTGCCAGCGAGCAATGTTTTTTTTGGAATTTTTTTGATAGCCGGGATCGTTCATTTTTAAAGTGATTTTAGTAAAATTTAAAACCATGTCGAAAGCAAGAAGTAAAAAATATTACCAAAAATATACCAAAGCGTGGGAATCAGATGTATTATTGAAAGGTTGATAATAAATTTTTATTTTAATTTCCGATATCTTAAACTATAGAAAACTATATAGGTACAAAAATATTGTTTACTACCATAGCACAAAAACATCTATAGAATATGATATTTGGGTCGTAATAATACTAGAGCGTTTCAAATTTTTTATTTTACTACACATATTCTCTAATGAAATATAATTTACAGAATGGATTTCACCAGATATAACGAACAATAGTATGGCAATATGTAAATATTGTCGAATAAATCTAAAAGCGCACAGAAAAGATTTAGTTGCTCATGCTAGTACAGAAAAACATAACAAATCTGTTGAGGCACATAAAAGCGCAAAGTCATGTTATAGTCTTCCAACTCTATTTAAAACAATAGATTCAGAAACAATCAAAATTGCAGAATTAAAAATAACGGCTTTTATTGCAGAACATGCTTCTATACACACTGTTAATCATTTGACGGAAATTCTACCTAAGTTAGATAAAACATCGGAGACTTTATCTAAATTGAAACTGCACACAAAACAAAGTGTACTATGATAATAAAAAATGTGCTCAGTCCTTGTATGTTACAAGATTTAGCGCAAGAAATTGGCGATTCTGCTTACTCTATTATTATCGATGAGAGTACCGATATCTCTACTTTAAAAATTCTTTGTACAATGATACGTTTCTCCATGCCGAAAAAGAAAATAGTTACTACTTTCTATCGAATAATTAAATTAACTGAATTTGATGCTCAGAGTATATGTGATGCCATAAAAGCTCAATTACAAAGTGACAATCTAAATTTTCAAAATCTAATTGGAATAGGTGTGGATGGTGCCAATGTGATGATCGGCAAAAACAAATCTGTTGCCACTATTTTGAAAAAAGATTTGCCCGATCTTATCGTCGTTAAGTGTATATCTCACTCTTTGCACTTATGTGCAGAAAAGGCTACCGAAACGCTGCCTAGGCAATTAGAATTTTTAGTTCGTGAAGTTCACAACTGGTTTTCTTACAGTTCTAAACGCGTAGAAGAGTACAAAAAGTTATATGAAATAATCAATAATAACAGTAATCCTAAGAAAGTGGGAGCGCTAAGTGGAACTCGCTGGTTGGCTCGTTTCCAAGCTATAACTACAATATTAGACCAATGGATCGAATTAGAACTGCTCTTTTCTATTGTTAGAAAGCAAGATAAATGTTATATGGCTGATCAATTGCATGACATCATGAAAAACATACAATTCAAAATATATTTTGTTTTCTTAAAGAATGAACTAAAAACTATTACTCAGTTGAATCTACTGTTTCAAAATAATCAAGTAGAGCCAGTTAAATTATTTGAAGATTTATTTTTACTTCACAAAAATGTACTTCAAAAAATTGTAGTTCCAGCTCAATTACAAAATATAGAAGACAATGAAATTACCAACTTTGATTTTCATCCTTACTTGATGGATACTTCATCAATATATTTAGGTTATGACTTTGAATCTGCGGCCCAGAATATTAATGCAAGTGACTTAACTGAGATAAGACAGCGATGTAAAAATGTTTTAGTTGTTTTAGCTGAGCTAATTCAAAATCGATTACCGGAAAATTTATCAATTTTAAAAATGATGTCAAATCTTGACCCAAAAGTTGCAACATCTCAGGTTAAACCTGGTTTACAAGAATTTTTTAAAATTTATCGTACTGATGTGTTTGGAGTAAAGCAGGATGTCGAAAATGAATGGCATCAACTACAAAACAAAAAATGGACACATTTATCAAACACTGAAGAATTTTATGCTGAAGTCAGTGAGGATAAGGATGCAGCTGGGAATAGCAGATTTAAAAATGTAGCCAAATTCGCAACAGCATTACTTTCGTTACCTTTTTCAAATGCAAGCGTGGAGCGCGCATTTTCCATTTACTCAATAATTAAAAACAAATTGAGAAACAAATTATCACCTGAAATGTTACAGGCTTTAATGATGGTAAGATATACTCTACAGAGACAAGGTTCGTGTATAAATTTTAATCCAACACCAGCGATGCTAAACAAATTTGATTACAAAATGTACGATTTTAAAAATAATTTGGAAATTCATGATGATTGTAGTGAAATGGAGGAAATATTAGAAAGTATAAATTTAATATGATTTAATTTGTTATCAGTTGTTAAAAGAATAACTACTTAAGTAATTGCTAATTACTTACTTTATTATTAATTACTATTTAATTACTTGTTTTGAAATAATTTCGTTAACAAATGTTTTTTATCTCTTTTTTCAAATTTATTCAAATTATATTTATTTTAAATATATACAAAATATATATGCTACAGAAAACAGTTCTTACATTTTTTTCATATTTTGTACAAAATGTTAGTTTAGGGGGATTTAGGGGTTTTTCGAATGGCTTTTAGGGGGATAAAATTTTCAAATGTTGGCCACACTGATCGCACAACACTTTTGAAACATTTAAAATTAAATTTTATCATGAACGTCACCTTAAAATATTCAAAATATTTAATGAAATCAGATTTAATGTAAAATCGTCTTAACTTGTTGAAATGGAAAATTTTTATAAAAGACATATAAGGGACCTTAAAAAAATTAAGTATTAGTGAAAATATCTTGGGAAAATAATAAATTACAATGCAATGTGTTCCATGCTAAATATTTATTTAGTGCAAATCAAAATCAAATACAGTATTCGCTTGCTCTTTTTAATGTTCGGAAATTCTGATTTTGAAGATAATTTTGAAGATAATTGGAGCTAAATTTAGTTTCTAAATAAAATTCTAAAATCTTAAATTTATTTTCAGTTCTTAGAATAGTTTTTATATTATAAATTAATTTTTTGCCAAGTGGCATATATGCATAGAGGCACAGACCGTGTTATTTAAGAAACCGAATACGTTACATATTCATAGCTCAGTATAATCTGTATGAATGCGTGTGAATATGATATCTAGAAATTAAGTAGAAATTAAATATCTAGATATTAAAATTTAATATTTAGATATTAAAAACTTAATTAATCTATTATCAAATTACTTAAGAATTGCGAGCATCTGCTGTAGTTCAGTTGTTGAATTTATCATTTTAGATTCAATCTATATTCCTGATCTATATTCCTATATCTATATTCCTTCAAAATCAGTCTTATTTTATGAGCAGCTGACATTAGAAGTGAAAAAATGGTCGATGACAAAGAAATAATTATAGACGCTCAGGGATTTTTCGTTAATAACAAGTTTATAGTTAAAGAATTGAGCATTTCTAAAAATGATAACTCGGAAATTAAGACGTTTTTAATACGATCACCTTACGAATATTGTAGCATATCATTAAAAGATAGGATTGCAGTCAATTGGTTATATAATCATCATCATGGTTTAAGGTGGTCAGACGGTGAAATTAAATTTATGGACGTTAAAAAATATCTATTAAAAGAATTACATTATAATGAAAACTCAACTATCTATGTCAAAGGATTTGAAAAAATAAGATGGTTAAAAAAAATGATTGGTGAAAATATTCCTATGACAAACTTGGATGATCTTAACTGTCCAAAATTAGATATACTATATATAACAAATATGTCTTCTAATAAAGAAGTGAAATATTGTCAAAATCATAAAATTAAAGAAGATTTAACAAATTTATGTAAATGTTCCAGAAAAACTGTAATATTACTAAGAAATTTCATAAATTTAAATATTGATAAATAAAAACGAAAAAATTATATGTATATGTATACATCAAAAATTAAAATAAAAACACGCAAATTTTTTAAAACAAAAGTTTCTTTTTATTTTTTTTATTTTTATATTTTATAGACTACAATATATATTAAAATTAAATAAAAAACATACAAAACTTTTTTTATTTTTTTTAATTTATTTAATACAATATGTATATTAAAATTAAAATAAAAAATAATAAAATAAAAATAAAAAAATTAAAATAAAAAAAACATAAAAATTTTTTTTTTTTTTTTTTTATTTACTTAAAACAGTTTATTTAATAAATAATTTTATCAACGTTATGCGTTGATAAAATCAAATATAGGATGAATATATCCTATGTCGTATTCATCTGCATATGTCCGAAAGACCTCCACAATTTTGCCAACACGTTTTAAGTACTTTAATTTTCCAGGATGTGCTATGACCTCATCTATAGCACTTGAATAGGCTCTCACCAAGTCAGGCGCATCCCAACATCCCGTTGCGAATTTGTCACCTGTCTTCCTCAGTATATTTATTAGATAGTCCTTGTCGACTACTTCATTTCTGCACTTTGAACAAATGGATTTGTTTCCGGATTCCATTGTAGTTGCTCTTTTGATTTTTTATTGAATTGTTAAACTTTTTGCTGTCCTTTATATACCCATTTTCAATTTCATATTACATTATCAACATCCGCTCTAAATATCGCCATTGTGATTTCTTGTTTTTTTTTTTTTATAAAATTATCAACATCCGCTCTCATATGCAACTGTATAATTACCATACATTATCAACATCCGCTCTAAATATCGCCATTGTGGTTTCTTGTTTTTTTTTCCTCAGTTCAATTAAAAGAACTCAAAATATTTGAAACTAAATTTTACTTTTCTATTTCAATAAATCCATAGCCTACTGGGTCGTCACAGTCTAATTCAAACGTATAACCACCCTGTACATCTTTTGCACAATAATGAGCTACTAAGAAATTGGTTCTTCCTAGATATAAAAATATTGGATCAGGATCTTTGCCCTTTAAAGCCGCTTTAATTTGTTGAATTGCTTTGCGGAAATAGAAAAACGTGCTTACAATTGATAACGTCACGCAGAACATACACAGATGGTTGACAGCGTCCCATTGACTCGCTAACGGCTTTCGCAACGACGAAACGAAATCAGTCTCCGACGATTTCTGCTTGAAGTCCGAAAGCATCTGCCCCGGAACACAAGGAGGATTTCCAAACATCTCTGAAGGACTAGCATTAATAAATATTAAAATATTGGTTCTTCCTAGATGTAAAAATATTGGAGTAGAATCTTTGCTCTTTAAAGCCGCTTCAATTTGTTGAATTGCCTTGCAGAAATAGAAACTCTTTTATTCTGTCGGTCAGTGCAGAATTCGTTTTATTTTCTTTACACTTTAAGATGTTTTCAACTTTAATACTTGCCGTGTCTGTGGTTCCATAGCAAAACCTCTGTAATACTTTCTACTGCACTTTATTACCTTAACAGGCCATGCTGCATAGCCCTGGAGTCTTGCAAAGAGAAAGTCTCCCATGTTGAACTGCCTCAACTGTTTTTTCTTTTTAGGCATATTTTTCTCAAACACACACAATATCAATTTCAAAGTTATATTTTATATTTATCTTATTTTAGGTAGGACCTATATTCTTCCAATTTATTTTCTCGCTACACAACACTACAACTACACAAAATATGTGCATCAGAATTGTGTTTTCTAGATTTAATTATTCAAATTGGATATTTCAAAGGGTTCCTTACTATAATCGGTTCATATTTATAATTTATATACCGGTAGTCTATTGAAGCTAACTGTTATATTAAATGTAATTGGAATAGCAAAATTTATTCATTATTATTAAATGAAATGATTTTATGTAAGAAACGTCTTTTACTAATGATACAATATATATGTTTAATATGATAATTAATGATAATTACAAATAATAAAATTTGGAAAAATAATTTTACATTTCGACTGTTTGTATAAAAACTGGTACTCTTTAATGAGTATTATTCAGTGTTATCCATGAATTTTTGAGATGAGGTGTTAGGGGAACGAGATTTTTAAATATCAAACATTCCTTATCAACCATTTTAAAGTCGATTTGACAGAACTAGAAATTTCTGAATTTGTTAACAGACTAATAGCATATTCACACTGCCTCATTTAGGCGCTTTTGCTCATTATAATCACTAATGAGGTTATATATGATTTACGATACAAAAATCTATCCTATAAATGAGCTGGTTGCCTATAAATTAGCTAATTTAAGGCGAAAAATGTCGAATGCAACCCTTTAAAATAAATATACCAGGGTTTGTGTTTAAATCGAAGAAATTAATATAAAAACACATTAATCATAAATAAATTGTTGATAAAATGTTATTATTATTAAATTGTTATAATAATTTTTTCCTTTCCATTGATATAAGTGTACATACTCCAAATCTCTACAAAATAGTTCCATAAGAAATTATATCACATTATAAAAGCAAGAAATATATATAAGATTGAATATTATTATGATTTATATTATATTATGAACTATTGAAACTAAGATGGGAATACCTAATGTTCCTTCTTAAACTTTAATTTTAAATATATTATTATAAAATAATTTTGAACTCAAGTTCGTACGTTTTCCCATTGCATGTTTTGATTTCGTGTTTGCAGTAGTCGATCATTCCACTGATGAACTCGAGACCCTTTTCGTGAGTCAAGTTTCTTAAGTTCCTTCCATTTAGCGACTTCTCATACTTCAACTTTAGTTCGCAGTTCTGTTTCTTTAATCGCTTGTTTAGCTTTTCTACAAGTATTGTCGACTCTGTAACAACTTCGTAACAACTGAATGAAAAATATATCCCAATTCCGTGAGTATTGCGGTATTCTCAAGTTTAAAGTTTAGTATTTCTTGTTCCTTTTCATTTGTAAATATGAGTTGTTTTATTCACCGCAACATAGCTGGAGGTCGATGGGCCTGTAAATTTTTAATGCTTTCTCGAGCAGATGAGAAGTTAATTAATTTTGCGTTGGTCCATTCTAGATGCTTTTTAGTACTCTCCAAAAGTTGTGTACTATCTTCTAATTCATCCTTTTGAAAATATAGCTTAAGTTTCAAGTTCTTGACCGGATCTTGTAAGATGTCAATTTTTTTATTACTCTCAGCTAGACTGAGTGTAAATTGCGCATGAGATTTCTCCTATTTTTCTAACTTCCTGATGAAGTCGCGGTTTTCATTTTGGAGTAAACGATTTCCTACTGTATATTTGTTTTCAATTGATTCTTTTGTCTTATTAATTTTACATTTAAAAACGGTGCGTAGATTAATATTTTCAGCAAAG